CTTTCTTTCTTTCTTTCTTTCTTTCTTTCTTTCTTTCTTTCTTTCTTCCTTTCTTTCCCATTGTCCCAGATTCTAATGTGCAACAATGTTGACAGCTAGATTCAGATACTGTTATTGGTGCAGGTGAAGGCTGTGGCTCAAGACTTGATAATTAGCATAATTTCATATATCTAAGCTGGAAAGCTTTTTTTTTAAAGCTTTTTTTTTCATGTTTATTTAGAAAGAGAGAGAGAGCAGAGAAGGGACAGCAAGGAGGACAGAGGATCTAAAGCAGGCTCCATGCTGACAGCCGGGAGCTGATAAGGGGCTCGAACTCATGAACTGTGACATCATAACCTGAGCCAGAAATTGGGCACTCAACAGACTGAGCCACCCAGGTGCCCCAAGCTGGGAAGCTTTTTAAAGTGAGAAGCACAATCTCAAGATAGGAGGGCAAGTGAGCCCGAGCTGGAGAGACCGTGTTTCCTTGTTGTCAGCTTCCTCAACTCCAAATCCGGAAGGAGACAAAAAGAAAACCCGGTAAACTCACCGTGTTGTTCTTTCTCAGTTCTCAAAGTCCCTAGCTGTTCTGACTTCTCTCCACCTTTTGGTTTGGTTTTGTTTTATACATAATGTCCATGGATTTTAATTGTATAGTACTTAGAGAAAAGTATAACTCATCCATGTTCCCAATAGTGAAAGTGCATGCCTTTAATTTTTGGAACAAGTCTGTAACATTGTGTAATTGTCTGAGCTTGCTTTTCATGCAGGTCATATTTCTAAACCTATCACATTATATATTTCTGCATTCAAACATAGATTTGAAACAAACAATAATAGTACAATGGCTGTGGAGAGAAACATAATATTGAGTTATTCTATTTTGTTATTTTATGAGACCATTGACAGTTTCTATTTGTGTTTAAAATATAAAACAGAGAGTGAACACTATAAGGGATAATATATATTTTTTTAATGTTTATTTTTGAGAGACAGAGCGAGAGAGCACAAGCAGGGATGGGACAGAGAGAGAGGGAAAAGAGAACCCCAAGAAGGCTCTGCGCTGCCAGTACAGAGCCCAAGGCGTGGTTCGATCCCAGGAACCATGAGATCATGACCTGAACCAAAATCAAGAGTCGGATGCTTAACCGACTGAGCCACTGAGGTGCCCCAGAAGGGGTAATATTTTTAAGTGCCAATTTAAGTCATAAATAAATGATTTATTGAATTTGAATAATATTCTAAACACTGAAATATCTTCTTTATTAAGTTGTTAATTATTTACATTAAAAACTAAAGAATGCACCAAGAAAATGTCTTTTCCTAAATATACCATGATAATTATGAAACATTTTTGTGTATAGTGAAAAAGAGTCTTAAACTTTATTTGATCCAGATGTCAAATAAGCTAGCCATGCCACTAGTCATTAACCAGAACTTTTCCATCTCTGAAGCCCTACCTTCTCAGATGACAATTACCTGTTTTGATTGTCCTCATGTAGTTACTCTCACCAAATCTGTTCTTTAATAACATCTGTTCCTCCAGTTCCTTCATAGTCTTCTGTCTCATCTGCTATTTTCTCTTCCTTCTCATCCAACATTCTCCAGGACATATTTCTTCAACTGCTTCATGCTGGTATTCTCATCTCACTCTGTCCACCTGTTATTCTACGACACTTGTATTAGTCATGGTTCTTCAGAGAAATGAAATTAATAGGAAATGGATAGATAGATAGATAGATAGATAGATAGATAGATAGATAGATAGACTCATTATAGGAATTGGCTCACCCATTCGAGAGGCCAAGAAGTCCCAAAGTCTGCCATCTCAAGCTGGAAGACCAAGAAAGCCAGTGGTATAATTCCCTCCATGTCCAAAGGCCCGAGAACCAGGATCTCCATGGTCTGACAGCAGAAAAAGATGGATGTTCCAGCTCATGAAGAGAGAAAAGGGTAAGAGGGAGACAATTTGTTCTTTCTCCATCTTTCTGTTCCATTCAGACCCGCAGTGGACTAGACAATACCTGCCCACACTAGTGAGAGGAGATCTCTTTGGTCATTCTACTCAGTCAAATAATCTCACTCTATAATCTTATTTGTTTCTGATTCCTTTTCATCATTTCAAATATTTAAGCTTTCTCATCTTAAAAAAATAATTTAACACTCTCCAAACCCATACGTGCCTCTCCTGCCTCCAATCCACTAATCTCTCCTGGAAATTCTCACAGACATGCAGAAAGAATGTTTTACCAGCTATCTGGGCATCCCTCAGGCCAGTTAAGTTGACACAAAATTAACCATCACAACACATCTGGTAAATTCCACTTCTGGACCAATCTTCCCTCTTAGTCATATTGCTTAACTGATGAGCATAGCTGGTAAAAATCACAAAGCTATACTGAAGATTGTCTCCATATAGTCACAGCTTTTAACATCAATTGTTCATGAAACAGTGCATGAAAATATTTTGTTTCTATAATCTGTTATCATTCCATACTCTACAATATCTCCCTTGAAGCTCTACTCTGCCAAAACAGCATATCCACCACCTTTTGATTATCCATGGTAAGTGACCATAAAGATAATTAATATCATTAAATGATATCATTGATATCATCTTCAACTTTCTGCATCCCAACTAAAACTTTGCTTTTAAAAAAAATTTTTTTTCAACGTTTATTTATTTTTGGGACAGAGAGAGACAGAGCATGAACGGGGGAGGGGCAGAGAGAGAGGGAGACACAGAATCGGAAACAGGCTCCAGGCTCTGAGCCATCAGCCCAGAGCCCGACGCGGGGCTCGAACTCACGGACCGCGAGATCGTGACCTGGCTGAAGTCGGATGCTTAACCAACTGCGCCACCCAGGCGCCCCTAAAACTTTGCTTTTATACATATAATTTACCTTACTTCCTGTAATGATGTAAAAGGTAGCCCTCTTACTTTTAAACAGACAGTATCCTGTGCCCAAACTCTTCTCCCATATCATTCTGTCTCACTTCTCTGGCACCTCAGCCCACTGATTACCCAAACTCCATAATCTTATTATTATTTTTTTTTTGCCACCGATTCCTTTTCATCAATTAAAATATTTAAGCTTTCTCATCTTAAAAAATAATTTAACACTCCCCCCAAGCCCATACACGTCTCTCCTGCCACCAATCCACTTCTTGGCTCCCTGTTCCTTTACTGTAGCCTCAATCATAACTGCTTTCATTTTGTCTCCTGTCTTTCACTCCACACCTCCATGCATCTTGGCTTTTGTCCCAACCCTTTTTAAAAAAAATTTTTTAACGTTTATTTATTTTTGAGAGAGAGAGAGAGACAAAGCATGAATGGGGGAGGGTCAGAGAGAGGGAGACACAGAATCTGAAACAGGCTCCAGGCTCTGAGCTGTCAGCACAGAGCCCAACGCGGGGCTCGAACTCACGGACCGCGAGATCATGACCTGAGCCGAAGTTGGCCGCCCAACCGACTGAGCCACCCAGGCGCCCATGTCCCAACCCTTTTTAAAATCTGTTTTCTCAGAAGTCATCAACGACCTCTTCATCTTTAAATCCAAAAGATATGTTTAAGTTGCATTAAAACACTAGGCCAATATTTCTCAAATTTTAATGTGCACATGAATCACTAAAATGAAGATTCTGGCTTAGGAAGTTTGGGTAGTGTCTGAGATCACGCAATCCAGAATAGCCCCCGGTGATGCCAATGCTGCTTAACCTACAGACCACGTTTAGAGCAGCCACTTTCTGCAGTCTTAGCTACTCATTCACTCATTCCTTTTTTGAAATCTTTCTCTCTCTGACCCTCTGCACTCCCATTTAAAAATTCAAGATTTGGGGGCACCTGTGGCTCAGTTGGCTAAGTGTCTGACTTCATTCAGCTCATGTCATGATCTCACAGTTTGTGAGTTCGAGCCCTGCATCGGGCTCTGTGCTGGCAGCCTGGAGCCTGGAGCCTGCTTGGGATTCTGTGTCTCCCTCTCTCTCTCTGCCCCTCCCCCGCTTGCACTCTGTCTCTCTCTCTCTCTCAAAAGTAATAAACATTAAATAAACAAATAATAAATAAAAGTAAAAAATAAATTCAAGATCTGGGAGAACTTTTGCAGTGTCCTTTTATACTATTCTTTGATTATTCCACATCGTGAGCATTCCTCCTGCTGTAGGCCCTCTTTTCTTCTCAATATGTGCCCTCTCCTTTGGAAATTCCATCTGCCCCTATGGCCTCAATTCTCATTTCAGCAGCCTGACTACTCAGGCTAGACATAAGACTCTGCTAATGGTCCATTAACAAGTCTTTGCTTCCTTAAAGACCTGATGGTCTACTGTTGGCAACTTTCTGGAGTTTAAAACTATATTGCACCTTCCTGGCTGGTTCCAATCCATTTTTATGGTTTTACTGACTACTGTTACCATATCTGTGCACTCCATTCTATATAAACTTGATTCCTTACCTTTGTGGCGGATGCCTTTGCTTATGCTTTCCTTTGGTGTGAAATGGCTTTACCCAGTTGTATCTATTAAGGTTTTTCTTAACTTCTTGCTGATTGGTCCCAAATTTTTTACATTTATGGGGATAATGTATAACTCATAATACACCAGTAAAATGAAGACATTAACAACTGTGGTAGGCAAATTCTAAGATGGTACCTAAGATTTCTGACCTCTGGTGTACATACCCTATATAATCTCCTCCCCTTGAATGTGGGCAGGACCTACAATATGACAGATGTCACTTGTACGACCAAGTTATGTTAATGGCAAAGGTAAAGAGACTTTGCAGATGTAATTAAAGCCCTTAATCAGTTTGATTTTGAGTTCATCAAAAGACATAATATCCTTTGGTGGGCTTGTTACAATCAGGTGTGCTTGACACAAGAGGGCTTAGGTTTTCCTGAGATCAGAGAGCTTCTCCTGCTAGGCTTGAAGAAGCAAGCTGCTATGAGTTCTACAACTACAAGAAAATGAATTCTGCCAACAACTACTTGAGTTGAAAGAGGGCCCCCACACCTCAGACAAGACAGCAATCTTGGTTGACTTCTTGATTGTAGACTTGTGAGATCTTGCTTAACTGTACCCAGACTTCTGACCCACAGAATATGTGAGATAAAAAATGGGTGTTGTTCTAAGTCACAGAGCTCATGGTAGTTTGGTACATAGCAATAGAAAAGTAACACAGACTTAATAAACTGGTTAATAAGTATCATCAGTTCATAGTATTTAGGGTTTGGTACAGCATAAGAAAACTTGAAATGTAATGAAATCTTACAGTACACAGTGACTTAATAGATGTTTTACAAAATTTGACTATAGTCCTAAAAATTTATGTAGCATTATCACAATGCACTGTGAATTAAAATTTGTGTGTGTGTGTGATCAACCATGCTGAGAGTAAAGACTGAATTACCTTTATTTTTACTATATAGGAAATATTGCAAATTTATTGTCAAATGGAGAAACAACTAAAAAGTATGGAGTCAAAAGAAAAAGAAAAAGTATTAAATAAATGTATGAGGGAAATATGCAGTTTTCTAGATTTTATGATATTTGTGGCCTTTGTTTAATATAATTTGTAATTTGTTGTGATTTTCTTTCTCACTCTAAAAAATTATCTTGCACCCGATTTTTTATTCAAAATTTTCTGTTCTTTTATAAAAACCCCTCATTTTATAAGTTTCAGGGCCTGCAAAACATAAATCCTCTGGACACAACCATAATGCTTTGAAATTCACCTATAGACAGATGGTCAGGAACAAGTCGGAAAGGTTCACAAAAAAATGTGAATGTCTCCTTAGCTCTGTTTCGCCCCTAGAGGGCACTGTTGCCTAAATTCAAAATGGCTTTTCTGTAAAAGATGAGAATAAGCTCCCAAAAACCTTCTGTCCTTACACTTTAAAGAGGTGTTCTGTCGGCATTTTTTTAGACAGTGACATATAAAGAATCTCAGACAACAGGGGCAGACAGTTTTGCCCGGACATCTCTTAGCATCTCTTAGCCTGGACTGTTAGCATCTCTTGCTAACAGTCCCGAAGAAAAAGGAATCTAAATCTATCATTCCTCCTCAACCTCAGAGCAATCTGGATTCAAGTCCCCTCGGTCATCAGATTTCATTTGTGTGTGAGGAACTTCCCAGAAAGAAAACTCTCTGGTTCTTCACTGCTTGGCCATGACCTTGGTGTTCATCTTGATGCTTGGGGTGCTTCTGTTCCTGAGTGAGTAACATTCCATTTAATTCCCTTGTCCACAAGTAAAACATTGTTCTGGTTTGATTCTGAATATAGACCTTTTGCTTTAGTGGAGTTCATTGACTCAGCACTAATGTTTCAGGAGGAACTGGAGCCCAGTCACTGACCCAAACTGACGGCCACATCACTGTCTCTGAAGGAGCCCGTCTGGAGCTGAGTTGTAACTATTCCTCTAGTGGAACTACTTATCTCTTCTGGTATGTGCAGCACCCCAACCAAGGACTCCAGCTTCTCCTCAAGTACTTTTCAGGGCCATCAGATGCCCTAGTTCAAGGCATCAAAGGTTTCGAGGCTGAATTTAAGAAGAGTGAAAAGGCCTTCCACCTGAGGAAACACTCAGCCCATTGGAGCGACTCAGCCAAGTACTTCTGTGCTGTGAGTGACACAGCGCCTGGGACTACAGGGGGAGCTGAACACAAACCTTCTGAGACACTGTAACTTAAAGGACTCAGGGTCTCAGCCTGAGTTGTTTTCAGGAAGTTGACATGTTCTGTAAAAGAACATGTCCCCCTGCCTGTTTTTATATTATTTTTGTTTCCCTTCCCTTATGTTCATCTGTTTTGTCTCTTAAAGTCCTCATATGAGTGAAGTCATATGACATTTGTCTTTCTCTGACTGACTAACTTCGCTTAGCATAATACCCTCCAGTTCCATCCATGTAGTTGCAAATGGCAAGATTTCATTCATTTGATTGCCGAGTAATACTGCATTGTGTATATACACCACATCTTCTTTACCCATTCCTCCATCGATGGACATTTGGGCTCTTTGCATACTTTGGCTATTGTCCATAGTGTGCTATAAACATGAGGGTGCATGTGTCCTTTCGAAACAGCACACCTGTATCCCATGGATAAATGCCTAGTAGTGCAGTTGCTGGGTCATAGGGTAGTTCTATTTTTAGTTTTTTGAGGAACCTCCATCCTGTTTTCCATAGTAGGCTGCATTCCCAGATATTTTCCCTTTTTAAAAAAATGTTTATTTATTTTTGAGAGAGAGAGAGAGAGAGAACAAGCAGAGGAGGGGCAGAGAGAGAGGGAGACCGAGGATCCGAAGCAGGCTCCGTGCTATCAGTGGAGAACTGATTCAGGGCTCTAACTCATGAACTGTGATCACAACCTGAGCCAAAGTTGGATGCTTCACCGACTGAGCCACCCAGGCGCCCCTAGATATTTTTCCTTTATTTATTTATTTTTACCATTTTGCAAAGGCGAGACTCCTGTTTTTTGAAGTGCAGCATTTTTATCCTCTAGAGTCAGGCTTCTAGAGGAAATGAAGCTATAGGATTTGATTTTCAACAAGTTGGAAGAAGTTACTTGCTCTCGTGTCATCTGAAATAGTGATGGGCTTAGATGGTCCGGGGTTGGCCATGTGAGTTGGCATAAGGCAAATCAGAGAATTACTCTACCGAAAACCCAGGATAACTGCTTATGTCAAACTGCATTATCTCCAGATTATTTTACTAGTATCCTCAGAGGCTTCTTTACTTAAAGAACATCAGCGCTTTGACTAAAATATTTGAGAATGGACTTAATTAGAGCTGGCATTTTAAGGATATTGTCAGGTGACCTTTGAAAGACAATTCAAAATGAAGGGGAAAGGGCCTTTTTTATCTACTGGTCCTTGATAACATTCTCAGTCAAACACAGGTCATGATGAAGTTCATGTGAAATCTTGGACTTCTTTGTTCTATGAGTGACCAGCCTTTCTTGATCAGCACACCCAGGTTACTGCCTCCCTTTTTCTCTTCTCTAATTCAATTTCTCTCATACCTATTGAATGGACAATAATAATAAGTGAATCCTTAATCATTTTCTTTTCCTACGCTTTTTCTCACAGTGCCATTGATACAAATTTGCAATATTCTTGAACAATTCATCAGATATTCAGTGTCTGCAGATCACCTGACTTCAGTAAAAATGTGGAGGCCTTCGTTTTCCATTCCTTGAAACTGCAAATCCATCTGCAGAGGACTCTTGTTATTTGTAGAGTCTGAGACAAGGGCACAAACTAAAGCTTTACTCATATGCTTTCAAAAAGTTATTTTCCTTTTAATCTACTAAAGCTAAAAGGCAATATATAAAAAAAGAATAATCAACAGTTTTAGTAACATGTGCTTAAAACTGAAATTTTATTTAAAATTTTTAAACTTAGGGGCACTTGGGTGGCTCAGTTGGTTACGCGTCTGAGTTCTCTGACTTTGGCTCTGGTCACGAACTCACGGTTCCTGGGTTCGAGCCCCACATCAGACTCTGTGCTGACAGCTCAGAGCCTGGAAACTGCTTCAGATTCTGTGTCTCCCCCTCTCTCTTTCTGCCCCTCTCCCCTTGTGTGCTCTCTCTCTCAAAAATAAATAAATAAATAAATAATACAAAAAATGTTAAGCTTAATTATGGATGTTTTTTTATAAAAATAAAGTCACTCAAATTTAGTTTCAAAGTCCATCTAGTTGTAAATAACACCGCTTTTTAAGCACGTTTAATCTAGAATAAATCATATGGTTTTAAAGTAGTATTGTTAAGTCCTGCAAAGTGTTCCAACCATCATGAAAGACTGTTATGAATACCATGCCGATATCCTTTAGAACCATAGATGAGTACATAGATAGCAAGAAAATGGATCCTTAGCATTTCAGGAAATAAATTTCATGATGCAAGAATCTATTGCATCCATAGCATCTGAAAGGAAAGATTGGGTTAGTGAATTGATTTTTCTTTCCTTTCCCTTAAATCTTCCCAAATTCCAAATCAAAGTCTGGAGTAGCACAGCCCACAAATTTTTCCAATATTCAAATGCAGTTTAAGAGGCAACCCTTAAGGTATGTGAATAAGGCTTTTCCTTGAGCCTAAAAGCTATTAGTAGTTACTTAAGGTTATAGACTGTGCCCAGATCCGAGTGACAGAGACACCCAAATTTTTAATACATTTATTTGTGTGTGTGTGTGTGTGTGTGTGTGTGTGTGTGTGTGTGAGATCAGTGGTCCCGTCCACATACTTGCTCATTTTCTCTGTTCTTTGTATTTAAAATAATGGGTCACTTGGGGTGCCTGGGCGGCTAAACCTGCTTAAAAACCAACTTTTGGTTTCAGCTCAGGTCATGATCTCACAGTTTCGTGAGTTCGAGCCCTGCATCGGGCTCTGCACAGGCAGTGTGGAGCCTGCTTGGGATTCTTTCTCTCTGCCCCTCCCCCACTCATTCTCTCTAAATAAATAAATAAACTTTAAAAAATTAAAATAATGAGTTGTATTTCAAAGATCGTCCATCTTTGCTTTTGTTACTGTCCACTCTTGTCACCTGCATAGAAGGCATATGGTATCACATTTTCCACTAAACTGCCTCCTATAATAAAGGCTTAAAGCAATTGTTGCTGTCTTGGTGTTCAGGTAATATTAATGGCATGTTTTAATTGCTGCATTCTCTAGGACTTGATTACATTTGGAAAGATGTTTGTCTCCCCCACTATTACCATAAGCTCCCTGAATGAAGATCTAGTGTCTAATTCATTTTTTTATTTTCCCAGGTCTAAAACACTCTTAAATATATGAGCTAACCTGTATTGAATCATAGTGAAGGTCTCATTTTTTAATAAGTTCTTGGCTAAGGGCCGCCTGGGTGGCTCAGTTGGTTAAGCATCCGACTTCAGATCTGGTCATGATCTCATGGTCTGTGAGTTCAAGCCCACGTCAGGCTCTGTGCTAACAGCTCAGAGCCTGGAGCCTGGAGCCTGCTTCGGATTCTGCGTCTCCCTCTCTTTCTGCCCCTCCCCCACTTGCACTCTGTCTCTGTCTCTCAAAAATAAACATTAGAAAAATTAATAAAAAAATAAGTTCATAGCTAAGAATTAGATTGTTTTCATACAATTACCAAAAATTATATTACATGAAAATATTTATTTTCATTAAAAGGCACTGGGGGGCGGGGGATTCATGGTCCAATTATTGGTATTCTCTGTCCTGTGGACACTTCTATGGCTTCAAGTCACTCCACAGGTACAGCGCCAGACAAGGATAGCTGGGCTGAGCTATGTGTGCTCTTACTGCTGAGTAAAAGGTGTTTCTTTCTTAAGGTTCTGGTCCATCAGGAGGTACTATAAGCTTTTCTTAAATCAAGACTATTCTGAGCGACCTAGTTGTGAGTAGCTGTTGAAAGGCTGGAGAAATTGTCTGAGTGTGAAAATGGGGGCTAGTAATAAACAGTAAAGAGGGGAGAATAATTGGGTGTGAGGAAAAACTAAATCATCATCAGCATGTATGAAACATGCTTCTTACTGAATATTCCTTTCAATTAGTAGCTTTGCCTTATTCCCTGATTCAAGTACTAGACGTTTCTAGCTGTGATGCATATATCTGTATTTACATTGTTATAATCTTTATCTGTATCATTACCTTGATCTGCCTTTATCAGAAAAGACTTCTAGATCAAACAGAGTCACATAAAGAGAGATGGAAGGTGAAGAATTCCAGAGTTTTCTGGTTTGTTTCATTTTTACTGCCTAAGAATTTTCCGTATCAGGACAAATAGGAACTTTTGTTCACAGATCCAAAATCATTTCTAAATCGTTGTATACCACCTTTTCCTTAATATTTTTTCTGTTTCTTTCCTGTCACTAGAAAACCAAAAGGAGGGAAGACAGAGAAGCTAAGGGAAAAAAGAAGAAAGGAAGTAGGAAGTAGAAGGTGCAATGAGAGGGGAAGGTAGAAGGAAAAGAGGAAGACAGAGAAATTAGAGAAAGGATTCACTAAACCGCAAGTGTGAACCACAGGAAATTTTACAGCCAAGAATTAGAAAAACAAAGTATTATGCAGCAAAGTTAATATGTAGAAATAATGTCCAAATTGGTCCTATCTTTTCCTCATAATTTACAGTCTTATTAGGTTCATTTCCCGTAACAATATTTACCACAAGTCTTGGTTATTCTAGGCCATAAATATTTCATACATTCCAATAATAGGAATTCGTTAAGTATATAATATATAACATTTATGTTCTTACTTGGCATGACTGGAATGGCTCTCATATAATTAATTCATGGGTGAGTAAATATCTTTTTGTCAGAATACTCGCCTGTTTTTCAGATTTTAGAATATGAAAATTCTTTCTATGATTCTCCTCCATTAGCTTAGAAGAAGCCTGGTTCCCTCCCCGGGGGCCTCTCCCTTTCCCTCTCCCACACTACGACTTCCAGGATTATCAGCAAGTGTCCCTGAAGTATCAGAATAATGCCCTCTGTCGCGCCCCCAAGCAGCCCATTCTCAGTGAGGTTGAGGCCAGAGGGTGGGGCTTCCTGTCACAGAGCATCTGGGCCCCAACAGTGTTTGTTGGGTGAGGCTGATTGGTTGCAGAAGCAGGAACACTTCCAGATCCAGTTGGTGACGCTCACGCCCCAGGGTTTAGTTTAGTCTATCTTATGCTGAAAATGTCTTGGTCAGCAGGGCAAAGCGTCCTGAAGAGGCTACTGGTCACTGTGCTGGGACTTTTGTGCACCCAGGTTTGCTGTGAGTTGAGACAGTCCCAGGTGGGAATCTGAAAGGATTTAGCAGCTGCAGTGTTGTTGAGGGGGGGGGGGAGCTCACAAGACTGGCAGGCTTTCTGTCCTTCTCATAATCTATGAGACCATTTTCTAGGTTTTGCAGGGGTTGCAGTGACCATAGCCTGTGACCGTGTCTCCGTGTCTCATCAGGTGTGACAGGATTGATGGTGAAGCAGAGTCCCCCAGACCTGAGTCTCCAGGAGGGACTCAGCTGCACGCTGCAGTGCAATTTTTCCACCTCTGTGACCAGGGTGCAGTGGTTTCGCCAAAATCCTGGGGGCCACCTCATCCACCTGTTTTACATTCCTTCCGGGACAAAGCAGAATGGAAGATTACGCTCTACGACCGTGGTTGAGGATCGCCGCAGCTTGCTCTACATTTCCTCCCTCCGCACCACAGACTCAGCCATTTATTTCTGCGCCGGGGCGGAGTCACAGTGCTCCCCAGGCACCTGCAGCCTGTGCACAAACCCTCGGCAGGACTTGGCTCCTCCTCCAGCCGCAGTCAGATCCAGAAGCCCACCACACGGCATTGGCACGGCTTAATATTCCTGACTAGATCGCTGGAGTTCAAACCACAGGCACTTTTAGGTCCTACGGATTTGAGACTTTTTGGTCTTTATCTTCCCTTCTCAACCTGGGATCTCTTTTTCTGGACTTAAACCTCTGACTTGGAACATGAGTAGCTAATGAGAAGACAGACTTAAAATGAATCGTTAAGCCCAATATGCGGCATTCCAAGACGGAAAAAAGTGAAAGGAATACAAAGAAAAAAAATCACTCCAATAAAGATGTTATTAGAGAAGGATCCAGCTTAGCTGGGTGTCTCAAGAGTACAAACCTGCCTCAATCCAATGTGCCTTAATAGACAATTGCAAATGGCTGCATCCCATCCGGATGAGGGAGCAAAAGGCAAGCTGGGGGCAAAGCACAAGCTAACATCCTGCAACCCCTCCCCATCCCCAGGTGGGATGTGTGTGATATTCCTCAGGCACTCCTGGCTTCCCAAGAACAAAGGAAGGGGAAAAGCAAATGGTTAACTGATAGAGATCACAGCCATGCAAGACATGTTTCCATGTGTGCAACTGCGTTAATGATTTATAAGGAAAAAAAAAGCAACCTTCAGAAACCTATAGACTCAATTTCCTGGAGCCCTAACATCACCCTTCACTCCATAGGATAGAAAATCTTTATATAATCAGTCACGCCTCACAACCCCGGGCAGCTCTTTCTGCCCACAGGTCCTGTCCCCATACTACAATAAAAATACCTTTTATTTATTTATTTCTTGGCACTGAAAATGTCTCAAGAGATCTTTCTTGCCCATTGGCTCCGGACCCCTACTTCAAACCACACCACTACTGGTCTGGCAAAGCAAACAAAAAAAAAATTTCTTTCTGAATGTTCATATATGAACTTGGTCACTGAACACAAAACAAATTTATGCTCTTATAGTTTTGGATGCAAGAAGTCTGAAATCATTTTCTCTGTCTAGTCAAGGTCTCAGCAGGGTTGAGCCCTTCTAGAGGCTCAAGAGAAAGAATCCATTTCCTGTTCTAGCTTCTGGAGACCAGCTGGATTCCCTGGCCCATGACCCTTTCTTGAATGATTCCAGCCTCTCGCTTCTACCACTGATGGGGTTTTGAGGTGATTGTGGGGTTGGGAGCCGATGGCCAAGAAAGAATTCTTGAATACGTCTTTGGTGCAAAAAGGTGATTTTATTAAAGCACGGAGAAAGGACCCATGGGCAGAAAGAGCTGCACTGGGGTTGTGAGGAGTGACTGATTATATGCCTTCAGGTTGGGAGGGGGTTTGGGACAGTGTAAGTCTCTAAGGAATTTTGGAAGCAAGGTTTCCAGGACCTTGAGGGGCTAGCTGTTGTTAGGAAAACGCCATTTATTACTGTTTAGTTAAACCTCAGTTATGAGACTTCAAATGTATATCGGGGGCATAAGCTTGGAGTATAATTGCCAACATAGACTTGAGGGTTAAAGATAAAGGAGATTTGCAAAGGAATTTTTATGTGTTTAAAGAGACTCACAGGATCCTGGGGGGGGGGGGGGCGGTTCAGGCTAATGTTAAGCCCATATTCCCTTTTGCCTCCAGCAAAGTGCCATCATCCAGGCAGCTGAGCTCCTAGAGGAAGGTCACTCTGTCAGTCTCAGGACTTGTCAGTGGGCTATAGGCAGTAAGGGAATTTAATTTTCATTTGCCTTTGTTTCCCACATAAACACTTAAACCTCCTTACATTTTGATGAGGGTGATATTAGGGCTCCAGGAAACGGAGTCTATAGGTTTCTGGAGATTAGGCCATGGATAAGATTGCCTTTTTCTTGCAGTTTACTAAGTTATCCATAAGCTGAAGGAGACTCCTGTTGTGTATGACTGTGATCTCTATCAGTCAACCATTTGCTTTCTTTCCTTTCCCCTGTTCTTGGGCAGCAAGGAGTGTCCGAGAAATATCACACGTATTCCTCGGACCAGGTGGCAGCAGGGGGTGGGGTGGGTGCTGTTAGCCTGTACTTTGCCCTCAGCTTGCCTTGTGCTCCCTCATCACCACTACATCTCCTTCCTCTTCTGGAGTCAAATCTCCTAATCATTCTCACAAAGACACTTGTAATTATATTTAGGGCCTATTCAGATACCCCAGGATGATTCATATCAAGATCCTTACATTAATCATATATCCAAAGTCCCTCTTGTCATATTCATTTATATATTCAAATACCAGGCATTAGGACCTAGATATGGTTGGAGGTAACCACATATTATAGCAACCCTGGGTATTCATTCCCCATCCCTTTTAGGGCTTCTTCTTCTTGTTGTTTGCTTGTTTATTTGTTTGGTGACTCAACTCTTTCAATTAAACCAATTTTGTCCATGGTGTGTGGCCTCTGACATTGGTCCTAAGAAAACACAGTCTTGGGTACGTGCCCGGACATCCTGGTATAACAGTGGTTTTTAGCAAGATAACCTTGACAGACTTTTTCCCAGATCTGTGGTAAGCTCTCTGCCCCTGTTTGTATCACACCTAGCCAAATAGCCTCAATTAAGTGCTGGCTGATTGTTCTTTTGTTTTCAACAATGCCCCAGTGGGCATACATTGCTCCAAGCCCCTTTGCAGAGGTAGTCTTTGAGATTTATCGTTGATGCTTATTCTGACCCCTGGAGGATGCTTCCTAGCTTTTTCCCGTTTTCTCTGTCAAATTCCTAGTTTATGATTTACCTTATTGCTGTTCTTGAGCTACTGGACTTCTATAATTTCTTATGACCAAAATCTCCACTGTTTTCAACAGTACCCTTAAACTTGAGCTTCCCAATGCTACGTTCCAGATAAAGTCTTCTCGAGGGGAGAGCTCTGTTCTTATAGCTGCTTCTCTCCCTGCGCATAACCTCTCTGTCACCACTCTGGAGCTGTGAGAAAGGACCATGACCTGTGTTTCTCAGAGTGATGTTCCTGCTTTAGGAACAGTGTGCTGGGTGGGAGCAGCGGCCTCTGGTCCCGACTTACCTTTCCCAGCATGGAAGCACCACTCAATGAGGGAGCTGGGGTGAGGGCAACAGGGGCCCAGTATTCTCAGTCTGTCATGCCTGGGGTAGAGCTTTGCTGCCCCGTGAGTGGGGTGAACCATTGCCGTGGACTTTGTGGCTTCTCTTGCGGGCAACGCAGCTTCTATAACAAAAAGCCGGGGGAGAGGAGAGGTGTTAGCAGTCAGCCTCTCTGAGGGAAGTACAGGGGAAGAAGGAGTCCTGTGTTCTTGGTTGTTTGGGGGTGATGGGGGTGAGGTTCAAGGCTGACAGCCAAGAAAGAATTCTTGAAGACGTTTGGTGCCAAAAGGTGATTTTATCAAAGCACAGGGACAGGACCTGTGGGCAAAAAGAGCAGCACTGGGGTTGTGAAGAGTGACTGGCTATATACATACTATGGAGGTTGGGGAGGTAAAGGCAAAAGTGAGGTCTCCAGAAGGACTTTCATATGCTAAAGAGGACTCCTAAGATACCTGAAGCCCTACTATAGTCAATCTCAGGTTGTTTTACCTCTAGGAAGGTATTAACTTTAGGATGGTAGGGGGTTCCTGGAGTAATGTTCTACTCTTCTTTTGCCTCAAGTATTTTTCAGTGGACCACAAGTTGTAAAGAAATTTAACTTTACCTTCCATTTCCTTCTTCTTGCCTTTGTTCCCTATGTGTTCCATCACTATGGAGGGGAGGGTAATGTTGGGGCTCCAGGAAACTGGGTCTACAGGTTTCTGGATTAGACTATTGATAAGATTGCCTTTTTCTTATAATTTACTAAAACGTTTGTAAACTGATGGGAACTCAAGTCCAGTGGTCTCAGTGAACGATTTGTTTTGTTTTCTTTCCTTTGTTCTTGGGCAGCCCGGAATGCCAGGAATACCCTTGGGCGGGGGTGGGAGGTGGAATGCATGCCAGCTGTGCTTTGACCTCAACTTGCCTTATCCTCCCGCATCATTTGACATAATATCAGAACTTACAAAATCATCAACATTTATGGTTATGGGAAAACGAATTTCTCTTTGCAGCTCATTCTAGTCCAAATCCTGATGTTTTACTGCTTTGGACATCTGCTAAGTCACTGGTTCCAAAGTCAGATTTTTCAAAGAAGTTGTGGACTGCATAGTTATGGGTAATTGTGTCCACATAGCAATAAGATTCTTCACTGAATCACGAACATGCCATTGAAAAAAAAAAAAACTCAATAAAAGATAAATTACCCAGTTTAAAAATGGGCAAAATATTTGAGCAGGCTTTTTATAAAAGAGGTAGGAATGACCAATAAGCACATTAAAAAGATGCTCCACATTGGGGATCAACAAAATATGCCCACAAACCAAATCCAGCCAGCTACATATTTTTGCAAATAAAGTTTTATTGGAACAGAGCAACGCTCATTTATTTATGTATTATCAGTGGCTTTTTTCATGCTACAATGGCAGAGTTGAGTAGTTGCAACAGAGACCAAATGGCCTGCAAAGCCAAAAATATTTATTCGACTCTGTATTGAAAAAGTCTGCCAAACTTTCTACATCCTTAGTCATCAGAGAAAGACAGGGTAATACCACAATGAGATCACTACATAACCATTATGTCAGCTGAAAAAAAAAAAAAGATGACTATATAATACTTTGGCAAAGATGTAGAACAATTGTCTATATTAGAATTTATTTAAAGACGCGTTCTCTTCAATATAAAGGACTCTCCCTGATCTGATGTTGAGGTTATGGGAGGAAAGACAGCCCAAGCAGTGACTCAGCCAGTGGGCCAATTTCTGCATCTGAAAAGACCATAGGGCACGTGACATTCCACCAAGAATGTTTCAGGAGCCCTGTTGTCTCTTGGTAGGTCCCTCTTTGCAACCAAGACCTCTAAATCCACCTGAGATAATCTCAGTAAAAAAGAGCACAAGTTTCATAGAACTCAACGGGGGCAAAATTTCATTCATCCGAAGACATCACTGGCTCAAGAAGATTCAGTCACTTACTTCCGTGCTCTAATTGACCCAGGGATTTCTCAACACAAACTGTTAAGAAACTGTGGAAAATCGTTCAGTGTGACTTTTCTATATGACCACCAAGAGGCAGTGCTGCTTCAAAGAAGATTAACATTTGTCTCACCCACACAAATTCATCAACTAGCCAGAATTAATCCTTAAAATTTTAATCAACTATTATCTCCTACTTTGCTTCAATTTGTATCTATTAATCATCTGCATGTATCTATGCATTTAACTATCTACCTATCCATCCATCTACCTAAATAGTATCGGTGTTTAGTCTAATAGTTTGAAAAATATGACTTTGAAAAGCAACACTTTTTCTAAAGTTTATTTATTTATTTTGAGAAAGAGAGTGCAGAGGGAGGGGGAGAGAGAGAGGAGAGAGAGAATCCCAAGCAGGCTCTGTGCTGTCAGAGCAGATCCCGATGTGGGGCTTGATCTCATTAACTGTGAGATCATGACCTGAGCCAAAATCAAGAATCAGATGCTTCACTGACTGAGTCACCTGCCCCCCCCCCCCCGCCCCCAAACAACACTTTTTAAAATAATATACCTTGTTCTTCAAGGTCAGGGCTACATTAACTTCTTTAATATGAATTTATGTTGTTTTCACCCATACACAGCCAACCTCCAATCACTGAGTTAATGTGTGCATAGAATTCTCTTATCCCATTATTTTTACTGGGAAATCTACTGATGATCTAAGTCCTAGTTCAAGCATATCCTCCATAAGAACCCTTCTCCATCTGGGTCTAGAAGCAGAGTCCATTACTTTTTCCATCACATCGATTAGATACACAGTTCTCTTTTGTAGACTTTATTTAGCTGAACTTGAGTATTGACTAGGTTGACTGAAGACTGGGACTATGTTTCTTTCAGAATGAGACCCAAGTGTTGCTCATTTAGTAAGCACTCACTTATATATTGAAGATACACATTAATGAATGAATAAATGAAAACAGAAGAAACACATCAGAAATGCAACAAATGATAAGAAATCTCTTTAGAGTACTGGAGTAGAATGAGATTGGGGAATGAGGAATGGGGACTCTAATCATTGGCTCCAATTGAACTCTGATGTGTTTACTTTTTATTAGATTTGAGACGATATCAAATACAGATACAACAAAATTTTCTCTGTGCTTCAGAAAAATTATGTCCTCCTTATTTCTTCTAATTTCTATTATTTGTAGTACCTATCACTCTTATTTTTAGGGCTGCTTTTGGAATTTATCCTGAATTTCTGTCTCTATGCCCTGCCGTGTTAACGTCTAAAGCCAAACTGATTCTTCATATTTTCATATTTTACCCATTAAGACAAAATGTGAAGAAAAAGTTAAATGTTTGCTCAAACTCAGAATGAGCACTACTAAAAATGCTACGTTACTGGATGGTCAAGACTCCATATCTTCTGAAATCTGCAGAATCTTTCTATTCTTTTATGCCCATTTGGAGATCAAAGGTCCTGCAGAACAGATTATTCCAGTACTTTCCAATTTCTTTTCCCCAGGTATATTCTTAGAAATATTTAATTTACCTGATTTATATTTTAGAAGAAATATAAAAGAAATCAAAATTGGTTCAATTATTTTCTATAATTCTTTTAAGTTCATATATAATATGGACACATTTAAAAGAGTGTAATAAAATTTAAGTTCCCTAAGGGGAAAGAGATCTATTCTCTATGTTCTGCTCCATCACCCTAGCTTGTAATGTGATATTACACTTTTTGTGTGTTTTTAATAGACTTTAATTAGTATTTGTAATAAAAAAAAGAAATGCCCCACACATGCTAATCTTGTGGCTTCATAGGGGTCCATCCCTTCCTTTTCTTAAATGTAATCTTTATTGACATATAAACCTAGTGACCTAGTATATGATTTTTAACTAGGAGGTATGAGGAAAAGGAAGAGGGGTTTTGGGGAGGAGAGAAATTCTAAACTCATCCATGTGTTGGGGAAATTTTTGATTCCCAGAGAAGATATTTTCAGTGATTCTAAGTTAGGGCAAAATGAAGAAGTACTTCCTTTGACAAAAATAGCTTTCAGTGAAAGCACTTGTGAAGGGGTGGGGCCTGTTGAAGGAATTAAAAGCAGGTGTGACCTTCAAGTTAGAGTTCTAGCAAGCTAAGAAGAACAGAGGGCCAAATGAGTTGTCTCGGATCTTTGGTGTCGGGAGGAATGGACAAGATCCTGAGAACATCAATTTTAATTCTATGGCTTCAACTAGGCTGTGAGTTGCAGAGGAGAAAAGCCAGGATATGTCTTTAATCTGGGGGGAATGAGGAAATTGGGATACAGGCAACCTCATGCACGTCGAAACTTTAAGAGGAAAATACAAATTTGGGGACCTAATGACTTTGTTATTTTTTTAAGCAGGGGTGAGTGGCCAAGAGAAGAGTGGCCAGGAGCAGGTGAAGCAGGGCCCTCCATCTCTGATAGTCCAGGAAGGAGCTTTTTCTACTCTGAATTGCACTTATGAGAACACAGCGTTTGACTACTTCGTATGGTACCGGCAATACCCTGGTCAAGGCCCTGCATTACTACTAGCCGTGTTCTCGGTTAAGCGCCCAAAGGAAGATGGGAGATTCACAGTTTTCGTCAGTGAAAGTGCCAAACAATTTTCACTGCACATCATGGCTTGCCAGCCGGGAGACTCAGCCACTTACTTCTGTGCAGCAGCAAGTGCACAGTGCTCCCCAGGCACCTGCTGCCTGTACCCAAACCTGAAGCTGTGGCTCCAGCCAAGCCCTACTGTGCGGAGGAAGCATTCACACGCATGCGCAAAGTCTGATTGGCCACAAAAAATTCTCGATACATTCAAGAGGACTGGAATGATACAGAATTTATTTTCTGATCAAAGTAAAATGGATTCTGAAGGTCAACTGCAAAAAAAAAAAAAATGTCTCTGGAAACTCTCAAGTATTTGGAATTTAAGCCTTGAACTTTAAAATACAATAGCCTCCTCTTAACCACAGTTTCCCTTTCTGTGGTTTCAGTTGCCTGTGGTCAACCATAGTCTGGAGGCAGATGGGCCTCCTTCAGGCATATTGTCAACTAACAGTAGGTCACCATGCTTACTCCGTTCCCCTTGCTTCGTCTCATCATGTAGACATTTTATCATCTCACATCGTCATAAGAAAAGGGGAGTAGAGTACAAGAAGATATTTTGAGAGACCACATACATATAGATTTTATTACAGCATATAAAAATAAAAATATACATGAGGTGTAGCTAAAATAGTACATAGAAGGAGATTTAATACTTTATTTTATTTTATTTTATTTTAATACCAGTGTAGTTAACATGCAGTGTTCTATTAGTTTCAGGTGTACAATAGAGTGATTCAACAATTCCATACATTACTCAGTGTTCATCATGGTAAGTGTACTTTTAATCCCCTTCACCTAGGACATTTAATATTTTAAGTACTTACATTCGTAAGGAAGAAAAGTTGAAAAACACTGCTGTAAGCTTTCAACAAAAGAAGATAGAAATAAAGAACAAATTAAACCCACCATAAACTAAAAAAAAAAAAAGAAAAGAATTAGAAAGTCAAACTGATGAACTACAAAACAAACAATAGAGATAAAAAAATTTAAAGTTTATTTTCTTAAGATGATTAATAAAGTTGATATGTCCCTAGCTAGAATTATCAAGGAAAAAAAAAAGAGAGAGAGAAGATAACAAATTATACATGTAAGGAATGGAAAAGAAAACCACCCTCCAGATTCTACCCTACAAGGATAATGTAAGAATATCATTAACAGCTTTGTGCTGCTGAGTAAAACTATAGAAGTAGACCCACACAAGTGGGGACAACTGATTTTTTGACAAAGTTTCAAGGCAACTCAATGGAGGAAAGTTAGCCTTAGCAACACATGGTGTTGGGACAAGTGGATGTTCCTAAGCAAATAATTGAACCTGACCTAAATCTCACACCTTTATACAAAAACTTGAGAAGAGTCTCAAAATGGATCATACACCCAAGTGTAAAATGTAACACTATAATTCTTTTAAGAGAAAATATAAGAGAAAATCTTCATGACCTAGGGCTAGGTGAAGGGATTTTTGACAAGACACTGAAAGTACAATCCATTAGAAAAAATCAACAACCTAGATTTCACCAAAATTAAAAACATTTGTTCTATAAAAGTTAAGAGAATAAAAAAGACAAACCACAGATTGGCAGGAAATATTTGCAAAATACAGTTTCATCAAAGGACTGGTATTCAGAATATAAAGAACCTTCTGAACTCAATAGGAAGGAAACAAACAAAGGAAGGAAAGGAAGGAAACAAACATTTTAATCCAATTAAAAATGGGCAAAAGATTCATGCAGACACTTCACCAAAGAGAATTTGTGGTAGGGAAATAAGCATATAAATAAGCATATGAACAGATTTTCAGCATCATTAGTGACTAGGGACATGCAGATTAAAGCCACACAGAGATACCACACCACACCTATCAGAATTGCTAAAATAAAAAGTACTGACAATACCAAGTTCTGGCAAGGATGCAGAGAAATTGGATCACTCATACGTGGCTGGTGGGGAAGTGGTACAGTCCCTCTGGAAAACAGTTTGGTAGTTTCACATAAAGTTAAACATTCACTTACCTTACAGTGCAGCAATCACACCCCTGGGTACATATTTTAGAGAAACGATAAGCTTATGTTCACACAAAAATCTGTACATGAATGTATATGGCAACTATATTTGTGATGGCCAAAAACTGGAAACCACCCAAATCTTTTTCATTGGGTGAATGGATAAATATACTGTGGTACATTCATACAATGGAATGCCATGTATGTAATAAAAAAGAAAAGACTATTTAAAAAAATTTTTTTAATGTTTATTTATTTTTGAGAGAGAGAGACAGAGCATGAGCAGGGGAAGGGCAGAAAGAGAGGGAGACACAGAATCCGAAGCAGGCTCCAGGCTCTGAGCTGTCAGCACAGAGCCCAATGTGGGGCTTGAACCCACAAACCGTGAGATCATGACCTGAGTCAAAGTTGGACGCTTAAACCAACTGAGCCACCCAGGCACCCTGGAACAGACTATTGATACATGCAACGACCTCGAAGGATCTCAAGGGCATTATGCCAAGTGAAAAAAGTCCATCTCGAAAGGCTACATAATGTATGATTTCACTTACTAGATTATTATGATTCCATATATAACTTCTAATAAATTAAGCATAGAGTTATGTCATAAATGAATATGATTTTACTGCTGTTACATTTGGTATTCCAATACACGACTGGAGAGGTTACAGAAGCCAGAAACATATTTTGGTATCATCTGTCTGAACAATATTTGCTGTTGTAAAGTTACCAGTTCTCATGGTTTGGTGGTAAGTAGGAAAGGAAAGGAGATAATGAGTTCCCCTTTGTCTCATGTAGGGAAGCCAAAGATCAGTAAGCATGTTTCACCTCAGATTCAGGTTGGAGGCAAGAAAAGAATCAAAATATGAATAAATATTTGCAGTCACAGCCATGATTCATAATAAATTTGTTTCAGATAAGCCTGTCAGATCTTATCACAGATTAATTTACTAAACTTAGAAATTTTGAGCAATAAATCTCCTTTTTTTATGTTTGTTCTTTAAATATTTTAATTTTAGTTTTGAGAGAGAGAGAGAGAGAGACAGAATGTGAGGGGGGGAGGGGCAAAGAAAGGAGGAGACACAGAATCTGAAGCAGGATCTAGGCTCTGAGCTGTCAGCACAGAGCTTGACATGGAGCTTGAACTCACGGACCTTGAGATCATGACCTGAGTTCAAGTCTGACGCTTAACAGACTGAGTCACCCAGGTGCCTCAGTAATAAATCTCCTTCTAATTATTGCTTTGGTATTAAGTTTTAGGCTTGTCCTTAACCAGATATAATCATTAAGTCATAAGGAAAGACAAAACAATGTTTAGGACAGGACAAAACTCCGAACTGGGTGTCATAGCACGTTCAAACTTGATTTAGCCATGGGGCACCTGGGTGGCTCAGTGGGTTAAGCATCTGACTCTTGATTTCAGCTCAGGTCATGATCTCGTGCGTTCATGGATTTGAGCTCTGCATCGGGCTCTGCGCAGACAGTGCAGATCCTACTTGGGATTCTCTGTCTCCCTCTTTCTGCCCCTCCCTGCTCACTCGCCCTCTCTCTCAAAATAAGTAAACTTAAAAACACTAAGAAACAAATAAACAAAAATCTTGATCCAGCCAGAAACCACATTTCAGAGGCTGCTGCTCTGTGCAGCTGAGGGACCTTACACCTCCGCTGTCAGAAACCCGCAGGGCCATTTCAACAAGAGGGGCGGCTGGCCTTCATGCTGCTCTCCAGGCCGCTGTGCCCACAGCACATGGTCTCCTTTGCTTAGTTACAAATAATCGCAAAGCAAGGCACCAGTTAACTGCCAGCACTCAGAAGCGAAATGGGACGGAGAGGTAGATGTCTCAACTAACCATAAACTCTCTTCGTTGTCCCACTCACTGATAAGTTACTTTGACCTTAGAATCAAGGAACTGGCAATGCTTTAGAGACCTTGTCTGTACCTTCTTTTCTAGTTACTTGCCTTTTGGTCCTTTTAGATGAATTCATGCACTCAAACAATGAAACTGAAGAGAAGACTGACAGCTACATTCCACATGATCAGCTACAGTATACAAACTTAGCCACCATGTGGTCTTGACATGTCCTAAGTGCGTGAAACCTAAAGATATCACAACTTGCAGGAGTGGATTATAGCGCTGCATCACAGAGCGATGTAGCATGCTTACCTTAACTTTATTTGACAAAACACACACAGACCCACACAAACCACCCAGCCACAGATTTTATAAGTGAGACCAAAACCTCTGGACCAATGAGAGAAAATACGACCTCAGGACAATACTAGGACACATGATCTAATAAGTACAATTCTACTTATGGAGGCCATAGGATTGAATATCCTGATCCTTTTTAGAGTCTGATACATAAAGCTCAATGTCAGATTTCAAAAGAATAATATTGTATTTCTGTTATAATTTCATAAAAATATAACTGAATGAATTCAGAAAGTCAGAATTTTCATCAGACTGATTTTTTCATCATTTGATTTTGAAGGAACTTTATTCCAAAAGTTAAGCAGAATCCTAGAACTCAAAAAGGAAGAAGAAAAAGAGATGTACTCATTGCTTTGAATAAGATAACGTTTCACTGAGAAAGTCAAAGATCTGTGAGGGTTTTTGTTATTGTTGTTGTTTTTTTAATCATTAGATTCTGGAAGGAGAAAAGAAAGTATAGGTTAAATGAACAACTAGTAAGTAGTTGGAAGGTCCACAGCCCATAATAAATTCCATTTCCAATGGGCCCCCCAAATTCCTCCTCTGAAAATTATCAATGTATGTCTACTGGTTCAATCTTCATTTCCCTTCAGCTCAAAACTTTATATGCTAATAAGCTTCTTCTATGCCCCCTTTCAGGTACTACCTAACTTAGCTATCAGGGAAAAACCAGTAGACAAAGTAAAGGCTTGGGGTGAGCCAGACTCTTATTTGTGCATGGACCATGTGGTCAATGAACATCAGAAACCCTATTTCCTGTTTGGGGGAGTAGCCTCAGACCCCAGGAACTATGTGTCTGTGCTGCGAAGCACTCAGACACTGCTCTCTGCTTAAGGCAGAGCTAAACACCTCTGTCCCGGGAATGTAGGCCGCATGCTGCTCTCCAACCTGCTGAGGGTATTCATGGCCTCTATCTACTCTGACGGGGAAGTTTCCAGAAAAGGGTAAGAATGTTAAGAATGAAAGGGCTGCACGCAGGCAGGTGGTCCTTAATGGGCATTTGAGGAAAAAAGAAAGATTCGAGACAAGCAAGCATATTATGATTTCAGTTTGGTTTCTCTTTGGGTCCTACATTAGTCTAATTCTTCACAATATTTTACTCACCACATCAGCTCTGTTTTCGGATGTTTCCCTCACGATCCAGTGTGGCCCAGGAAGTTACTCATGTCCAGCTGGCCACATCCATGTAACAGGTTCAGCAGCCCAGTTACCCTTGATCTGTCTGTATGAAACAATGCAGAGCACATGATATATTTTTTGGTACATGCAGCCTCCCAGTGGAGAGATCACTCTCCTTGTTCATCAGAGTTCTTTTGGCAAGAACACAAAGAATGGTTGCTATTCTACAAACTTCCAGAAATCAGCTAAATCCATCAGCTTCACCATTTCAACCTTATAGCTGGAGGATTCAGCAAAGTATTTCTGTGCTCTCCAGGAACACTGTTTGAAGTGATCATAAAGCTGAATAAAAATCCCACAGCTCAATAAGAGACAGCCCCCCTGCTGCAGAAGCCAAGTAGAAATGCACACCTGCAACGTCCCAGACAAGAAATGGTAGTGACTGTGGTTGCTTAATCTTCGGTGTGGATCAGAAGGTTTAATTCTAAGTTAAGCCTTTTTCTATGTCATTTGGAAGCAGGTGTCGAGAGTAACTCTCTTCTAATACATTCTCAGTTTGAATTTTTGACCTAAAATCCATCATACAGAACATGCACAAAGTCACCTGAAGTTGAAAAAACGTGCCCCATGATGATTTTAAAGTGTCAGTGTCAGTTAAAGATGCTCACACCGCAAATCTGGGTCTAGTTATCTGGAATCACCATGAAAATCATCTCCTTAGTCCTTTCTTTTTAGGCTCTGTGTCAGTAAGGGTACAATCAGAGACTTGGACCTACCATGAGTGGTGTAGAATCAGAGATTAATGATAAGGATCTGACCTCATGCAATTGCCTTAGCTGGCGGAGAAGTCTATGTAAAGCTGTTGTCTTTGCACCTAGTACTGAGCCTGGGTTTGCTGTAAATCAGTTGTGGTGATATTTGTGAAGGAAATGTGGATGTAAACAAAGGCATGGACAAACTGTGACTTGTAAGAACATACCAGAACTCAAGAGGACAACTGGAACCCACAAAGACAAACTAAAACGTCCCTCTCTCTCACCTCCTTCAATCTCATAGTGCTGGGTGACCTTCAGGAGGAGTAGGTATTATTTGCCATCACCCTGCATGGAGACTTGGCCCAAGACAAAGGGAAGCTGAGGGAGGAGCTGTGGTAGGAGGTGAAGGAGTCGAGAACCAACAGTAAGATGAGCCAGTAGATCGGCCGCAGCCTGTGTGAGTTACCACAGCAAAACCTTCAGAACATCAAAAAATATGGCTGCCGCGTCACAACTACCTTCCAAATCTTGCACAAATGTCTTTTGTGGAAAACCTTAACCCAGAACAATACCAGGAAGCAAACTCTGGGAAACATATTTCCAGATAGTTAAGCTGAGACAATACAAAGCTACCACAGGACCCTCCTTGTCACCTTGGCATCCGTATGTACCTCTGTCAGTAACACTTCACTTTTAAGTAAAGACAGTAGCAAAATGATGCTCCCTGCTAACATGATGCCATTGTTCCTCACTCAACCAGAACCAAGATAACCTTCTCCCACAAAAAAGATACAAAGTATATTTGTCCATTTTGGGGTGATGTTTCCTCTTCTAGCCGAGTCACTCTTCCATTGATATCCCATAGCTTCACTACTGATACAATGAGGTATAAGATAAATTTATAGTAGTGCATACTACTACATGTAGGCAAATGGGAAAGAGGAGTAAAACATGGTTAACATATGAATATATGCATATCAAAGTTACAAAAAACAAATTTTTGTAACTACGGTAGCCTTTGTTTCTGTACACTGTCACGTGATTACAGCTGGTTATTTGTCACTACTTTTTCTGTCACTCATTCCATAACCTTTTTGCACATAGCAAGCATCTCCTCTCACTGTTCTGTTTAACTTTCTATGAAACAAGCTCCTTATTCAGCAGCAATGTTATGTAGAATTCCGTAAAGTTCCGTAAAGAATTCTACAAGTCCACCACCGTGGCTTTGGCAGAAGCACATTGCAGGCACTGAACGCAAATCCATATTCGGAATGTTTATTTAAGTGGAAAAAAAATCTTGCCCGTACTCAGGGACACTTGATAACTCTGCGTTCTGTGAAACATGGTTAAGAATGATACCTGTGGCTGGTGCCTGGGTGGCTCAGTTGGTTAAGCATCAGACTCTTGACCTCAGCTCGGGTCATGATCTCACGGTCTGTGAGTTCCAGCCCCTGCATCGGGCTCTGGGCTGACAGTTCAGAGCCTGCTTGGGATTCTCTCTCTCCCTCTCTCTCTCTGCCCCTCCCCTGCTTGTCTATCTGTCTCAAAATAAATAAAAATAAACTTCCAAAAAAAAAAAAAAAAGAATGATACCTGATTTTTCATTAGAAGCAATAGAAAGTTATCAAGAGAAGACATTTTTTAAGTCCTTAAAGAAAACAAACCTTTTAAGCTAGATTCCTATGAACATGAAAACATATTTTGGGGTTTCTTTATTTTTAAATTGAAGCATAGTGGTCATATAATGTTATATTAGTGTCAGGTGTACTCTCTAGTTATTTGACAATTACATACATTATGAGACACTCACCATGACTAAGTGTAGTCACTATCTTTCATCATATGAAGTTATTATAATATTATTTACTACATTCCTTATGCTGTACTTTTCTTCCCTGTGACCTATTTATTTTATAACTGTAAGTTTGTACCTTTGAATCCTGTCTTTGTTAAAAATCACTGGTAAGAAGGTGGAAAATCAATGCACGGACTGGTAAACGATATTTGCGATGCATATTTCTGAAAAAGGATTCAGATGCAAACTATATAAAAAGCACATGTAATTCAATAAGAACACAACAAATAAAAATGACAAAAACTTGAAGAGTCACTACAGAAATATGTCAAATAGCTGACAAACATACAAAAAAAACCTCTTAATATTATTATTCATTAGGGAAATGAAAATATAACCCCACCTGAGTATTTCATCTGCCCCGAGTATATGAACGTAACTAAGAGGAAATGACCCTAATAGAATAGGAGAAAATAATGATTATCTCTGGGGAAATACAGGACTGAGTGAATTTCAGAGAAACTTCCATCACTGAATCCATGTGGAGAGAAACAAAAGCAGTAACAGGTCACAGACCTGGACATTGAAGGAAAGGCGGGCTTTACTAGGAAAAAAGAAACTTGGTGTTTATTGAGCTTATTATATGTTAGGCACTGCAGTATGCATTTGGATTCATTATCTAATTAAACACTGCAAACCCTATGAGACAGGTTTCATTATTCCCATTTTATAACTTTTGTTTATTTTTTATAAACAAATAAAATAAAAAAATAAATAAACAAATAAAAAAACAAATAAAAAAAAATAAAAATAAAAATGTTTATTTTTTAAGTAGAGTTGACATACACATTCCCATTTTTTGTATTTGGGAAATGAGACATAACTTTCCTAACTTTATTTTAAATTTTTTTTCAACGTTTATTTATTTTTGGGACAGGGAGAGACAGAGCATGAACGGGGGAGGGTCAGAGACTTCAGCCAGGTCACGATCTCGCAGTCCGTGAGTTCGAGCCCCGCGTCGGGCTCTGGGCTGATGGCTCAGAGCCTGGAGCCTGTTTCCGATTCTCTGTCTCCCTCTCTCTCTGACCCTCCCCCGTTCATGCTCTGTCTCTCCCTGTCCCCAAAAAATAAATAAATGTTAAAAAAAAAAAAAAAAAAAAGCATCTCTAACTTATATCGTCAGCCAGGGTGTAACACCTTACAGGGCTCCAACAGAGTAAGGTTTGGAATACGGAGAAGCAATTGGCCCCAGAAGAGGGTGGCTGGATACCTCAGCAATGGTAACATTACTGGTTTCAACTGGAACTCAAAAAGAACTAGAAAAGATGGTGAACCCAAGTACAAATTGTCCCAGGGTCCATACATGAAGAAATCGTCCACTAACCAGTTAACAGCGCTGAATGCTTTAACAAATCTCTTACACAGCAGTGTTCTGGGAGCAATAAGGGGTTATAGGGAAAGAAGAGGCATTGTTCCTTAAACACTCACAACATGTTTCGATATCAAGATACTTGCTGCTTGCCTTTGTCCTCTCTGCCTATAAAACTGCACTCTCCCCAAAATATCTGCACGGTGTACCTCTGCACTTCCTTTATGTCTTTATTCAAATGTCACCACTTTGTGAATCTTTTCTCTCTATTTTTCTACCCTGAGCATCAGGCTCCAGCGTACTCCAAGTTATCAAAAACGAGAGCAGTTCTTTATTGAAGCACTGCCACCTGGTGTTCTGCTAAAATATTTTGTGACACTGGCCTTGCTCTGCCCTCCAGTGAGGACAGCAAGGTTAAATTGTGGCAAAGACTCATCCCGGCAGGAGCTACCGTTGCTGAACCAAAGTCAGTGAACTTGCCATTGTTGTTATCATGCGAGAGAAGATTTGGGAGGGCTGGCTGGTTTTCAACCTTTTGGCCAGCCAGATGTGAAAGTGATTGACTTCCAAATTATACCTATAATATGTGGGATGATTCGAGCTGGAGAATAATAAGATATTGGGGAAATAAAGCTTGGCACTGTTGCCCAAGATGGGAAGTTTTTCTCTGTTAAGTGACACTGTGTTTACTCCTCTGTCCTTTATTGTAGTATAGAAATATCCTGAGAAGTGGGAGCAAGGATCAATGATGTAAAAAAAAATAATAATTGTGTCATAGAGAACACTGCTTGGTTTACTCTTTTCATGTTATCCTATGCCACCCAATCCCCCAATATGACAACATAATGCACTGGCTTCCCATTGACAGAATCAAACATGATAGACCCTGGATACTTATGATAATACGTGAAATATGCTATGTAAATTGCAAAATTTACCTCGGAAAATATTGAGCTTTCTCTTGTGAATAAACTCCACTGCAATTTCAGATTGTGTCTCCCAAGCCCTCGGTGTTTTATACATTACATGCATCTCGTTGAGTGCCTGAGGTAAGGAAGTTATTGCACTAGGTGACTGGCATGTGTGTTCTCATTTAATTCTTATTGGAACACTTCAAGGTTGGTTGCAGGATCCTTTCGGGAGACAGTGTAGCAAAATGCTTGAGACCACTTTGCTTTGGGACC